AGACGAAGCAGGTTCCGATCTGTGACTTTCCTCTTTCTGCTTCAGTTTCCCAAGAGCCTGCATAGCCTTTGGTGAATTAACGACCGATAAAGACGGAATACCATGAAGTCACGTGACCATGCTATACGGCACCGAGCCAGATTCTCCAGCGTTGCTCCTTTTTCATCCGCGCTTTGAACCGGCACGTGAGTGTAGTACCACTCAACGCTTTGCACTCTGTTGATAAATCGAGAAGCAGTGGAGAAAGCGAATATGTTCATGTAGCTCGGGCAGTGTTTACTAGTGATGGAAAATAAGAGGAAGAGATCGACTGGCAAATTGAAATGATCAGCGGCGTTCTGTGTGAACTAACCTGAACTGTTGTGAACTAAATCAGAGCTGAGTCTGAAGACTAAGCTCTTTGTGTTCAAGTGTTTGTTCTTTCCGATCATGAGTTGAGAGTTATGACTGAAACCTTTTGATCTCGGGTACAAGTGGCTGAAATTGGTTTCCAGAGGCGAATCGTTGGACTCACGCGTCTCGATATGACTCGAAATGCAGTTATTTGAAAGGTCCATAGTGTTAAAGCCGCTGCTTCTCCAGACTAAGAAGTCACAGCTGTGATGGTTTTGGCACGTGTCTTGCGAATGCTTCCGAAAAGGAAGGCGAAAGAGCTACCACTTATTCAAATGGCCGGCCGAAGGCCCCACGGATGGCCAAGAATGACCTGGAGCAAGAGTTTAAAAGTACTCTGCTCCAGACTCAAATTATCTTCTGTCAAACCTTAAAGGCTGACACAGGATCAGAAATGCAGGAGATACTATCCGACGCTCTTCCTCTGTGATGTCAAAAGATAAAGGGTCATAGAAACTGACTAACGAGTGCAAAATTTGTATCTTAAATTACGATCGAAAAGGAGTCATGAAATTATTGACGTGAGAACAGCTTTAAGAAAAATTTAAGATCTGAACGGTTGATGCAAAAATTTCGTGTACCAAAACGTAAAACTAACGCGATGTACTATAGCGATACCTTTCAATAAAGCTTTGACGATCGATGAATAAAATTATTCACGTGAGTCAGAGTAGCAAAGGACGAAAAGACGTGTGAGGGTACAATGGAATGGTATTGATTTTATGATAGAAATGGAGGACTAAATGAGTACTTCATGACAGTATCAGCAAATGATAATGACATTATTCTTTAAGTTAACCACCGTATTGGACTGACATCAACCAGCCTTGACAAGCCGTATAACATGAATGAACAAAAGTATTGAAAAACAGCATAAAATACGGTTTATCATACACAACACCAAAAATCTGGTAACTAATATGATTTTCCAGTACTGACGTTTCGGCTCGTGCCTCATTGACCTACGTCAAGGGTAAGGGAGTTAATTAGCCGAGTTCGGAAATCCTTCCATTGTTCGCAATGGCTGGTACATGTGGAACCAGAAGGGAAGTTCTCTGTCCGTGCTGCAGACTAAACAGTTTCTTGGCGACAGAAGCGACAGTGCTCACCCAGTCCGTGCAGAGATCGCATCGTTGGTCGCACTTAACGTTGTAGCAGGATTGGATGATTAGTACCTATGTGACGGGCCAGCTGAATCAATGTCTTTCTCTGCTGATGCTGATAATTCTGACCATGTTCTTCATGTACCGCGTGCAGAAACATCTAACAGCTGTTTTTGCATTGTTCCTTGACTTTAAGCGATGCTTGGTTTCCTTTCTGTGTAAATGAGCCGCATTTTATACTACTTTTCAGTATGACCACCAACGCACAAAGGAAATGAT